TCATCATTGTGTCTGTCACGCGACTCTGTTCCCCTTTTGTGCTTGAACTGATGGTAAAACTAATGACATTATTTACTGTCTTTATATTTATTTTGAAAGATGAAGCTCGCGTTTATGGTAAGGGGCGTTACATTTCCGACGCGTGCTTGTGGTGTTCGGCCAATCACAATGCACTGGGTCAGCTGGCCAATCAGAGCAGACTGCGCTTGTCAAAGGAGGGGGCTTTGTAGAAAACGAAGCGTTTGAGAGAGGCGGGGCATAGAGGACCTACAATAATGTACAGTATTTGAAAAATAATGTGTTTTTTGAACATTAAAGCATGTCAACATATTCAGTTACACCAAATACACCAAATAATGATCTTTAAAAAAGCATCATATGACCCCTTTAAGTGCAGCATTTCATACAATAGATCATGCCATCATTCTACAAAGACTTGATCAAGTAGTTGGGTTTCAGGGATCTGTGCTGAAGTGGTTTGCATCCTACCTTAATGACAGTTTTTTTTCCCGTTAATTTGGGGAATTATTTCTCATCTCTGGCTCAAATCTCCTGTGGTGTTCCGCAGGGCTCTATTCTGGGTCCTCTTCTTTTTTCCTTATATATGCTTCCACTCATATATTTTATATTTTTATAATGTATGTTATATTTTTCAGAAAACATAATTTATCATAACATCTCTATGCTGACGATACTCAGCTTTATTTTCCAGTTAAAAACAATAACTGTTCTATGTCTAATCTGTCGGCATGTCTTCCTGACATTAAATGTCTGATGGGCTTACATTTTTTACAATGTAAAAAAATTTCATTGGCCCTTTTGTTTTCTTGATTAGGTATGTTTTTAAGTTTGTTTTATTTGTTGTACAGCACTTTGGTTTGAACACCTGTTGTTTTTAAATGTGTTTTATAAATAAACTAAAGTAAATGTTAGAAGTACGCTGTGATTTGCCGTGCTGATGTGGTGTTTGTGTGCAGGACACTATGGCTCTCGTAGAGCAGTATAAATCGGGTGCAGTGCCTCCTGCTGAAGTGGAGTTTGAGGATTACAGTCAGACAGTCAGAGCTGCCACATCTGACAACACAGCAACACACCTGCCCAAAGTGCGCATCAAACAGCTCTTCCTCAAGAAAAACAAGGTACACACACACACACTCACACACACACACACACACACACTACACACTCACTCGCAAACACGCACACACACACACTCGCACACACACACACACTCACACACTCACTCACTCACTCACTCACACACACACACACACTGTACTGCAGGAATTACTGCAAACCATCATCACACTGGCCTCAGATGTGAACATGCTGAAATAGAGCACACACTAGATTAAGATTAGCTTATATATGATGTGTGTGTATGTAAATATATGTGTACTAACTGTTTGTCTGTGCACGTGTTTGAATTTTCAGGTGACGTCTCCTGATAAGAACTTGGTGAGCAGCTTTATGCAAAATGTTTCGTTTTTAATTTTTATACTGTTTTATACTGTTTACAAGTGATATGACTCCAGTGAATGATCTTGTGTGGGGTCAGTGTGGTCGAACTAAGTTTGTGCTTGAAATCTGCATACAAACAAATCATGACTCATCAGTAACATTCGTTTTGGGGTGATTGATGTAAGATTAAAGCATACTAAGAGCATGTACTGTCAGGCACAGGAGCAGTCAGTCGGAGTGTTGAGTGTGTGGAGTACTGATGTCTCAGTGTGTGTGTGTTTTAAGCCGTCATCGCTGGAGGATCTCTCTCGTCTGCCTCTGGATCAGAGGAGGAGGCGTCTGCAGGAGAAGATCGATGACATCCAGAAGGAACTTCAGAGAGAGACGGAGCAGAGGTACATCACCGTCTCACTGAGCACTGAAATACCACACATCATGCAAATCATGTTATTTCTAGAACTTGAGATAATAGACAAAAATATAGCAATAATTACATTTAAATATCATTTTGTGTTTGTATGGAACAGTATGGAACACTCTCAAAATTGCAGTGATTGACAGCATGGTCACTATAGCAACGTTCTGGCATCTCATTTGGTATCTGCTGTTTTTGAGCAGAGTAATATTACTGCGACCAAAGACTCGTCATGTTCTGTGATTTTAACTAAGCTGCCTTCGTTTACATCTGTAAGGCTGCTTCACAGAGCATGCTCTTCAAGGGTTGCCATGTCCACTTTTTACAATCAACACTTTCTGTGACTACTGAAACAAGCCGATCCTAAAAATCCTGCCGTTCACATTAACACTGTAACACTGTCCGTCTCTCTGTCCATCCGTCAGCGAGGCTCTGATGAGGATGAAGGGTGTTTATGAGCAGAACTCTCAGCTTGGAGATCCATCCAGCCTTCAGCCTCAGATCACACAGACCGCCCATAACATCGCCAGACTGAGAGGAGAGCTCAACAAATACCCTCACTCACTCTCTCTCACACACACACACACACAGACTCACACACACACTCACTCACTCACACACTCACACAGACACACTCACACAGACACACTCACACACAGACTCACTCACACAGACTCACACGCATAACATTTCCACACATATAAACACAGGTGTGTTCTGCAGGTTCAGCTGACTGAAGCCAGCGGTGGGACGCTGCAACACACTCCCGCCAGGTCGGTCCGTCAGCAAACACTCTCTGTCTGTATGCGGGATTGTGTGTGTTATGAAAACTCTCCTGAAGATCATGCGTTTGATCTGAGATGTGTTTGTTAACTGGTATAATGTGTGCGTGTAGTTCAGAGTACATCTCCGTGCTGAGCGAGTCCAGCGTGTCTCCGTCAGAGAACATCTATGAATGTGAATTTGATGAGGACTTTGACATCGACGTTCCCATCGGTCAGTGCACAGCGCTCTATGACTTCGACGGTGAGCTGCTCTCTTTTCTGCACTCCTTTGGTGTTCAGTAAACACTGAGAGATCAGTCCGGTGAGCATCTGTGTGTGTGTGTGTGTGTGTGTGTTTCAGGCAGCAGCGAGGGCGCAGTAAGCATGCATGTGGGCGAGCAGCTGAGTCTGATGCAGGAGGATCAGGGCGACGGCTGGGTCCGAGTTCAGAGGGCCAATGGAGACGTGGGATACGTGCCGGCGTCATACATCCAGATCATCTAGAAACAGCTGATCGCGTGTTTTACGGGAGTGTGAGCTGTGCTCATGTGACTCCATCAACTCTTGTGCTTTTATGTCACGGGGAGTGTTTTTACTTTTTGATTTCTTTCTTTTCTGTCATGCATTATGCTGCTTCTGGTGATTTCCTGAACATTTGTAGTTTTAAAATGGTTTTTCGTTGTCTTTTTCTGCTGCGTTTGTTAATTATTGCATGTAGAAGCCTTCAGCTCTGATTGTTGTAACTTCATGACGCATAAAAACAGTCAAGTGTGTCCAAACTTGTGCTGAATGATTGCCATATTTAATTTAAATCTCTGTTTAACCCCAAAAAATTATAACTATAACGACATCTATATTAGCGTCCACATCATCGGATGATATCAACAAGTGCATGCTTGAGCAGCCATGCACATGAACAACAGTCAAGGTCAGGATTTTCATTAAATAATACATTACATTTTGAGTAGATTATAAGCCGCCAGAACACTTGGAATATATGACATGGGATCATTCTGTGATATAATGTGGGAAATGATGCCTGAAATTGAAAGAAGAGCTAGAACACCACAGTGTGAGTAAATGATGACTTTATCAGTTTTTTTTATTTTGGGGGTGACTGTCCCTTTAAGGCCCATTCACGCCAAGAATGATTTATTATCCGTTTATAAATGTTCTGTTTATGAAGTCTGCCGCTTTAAATGCTGTGGTCTTTATTAAAGATGTATTCTGATTTGTTGTCAGTGTTTTGATCATTTATCAGCGGGGCAAAAGCTTTCTGGAAGTGATTCGAGAATGTATGCATGTATCGTATCGTATCGAATGTATCGTTCCTCAGTGTGATATCGAAGTCGTGTGGACTTCCTCATTCTCAATTAATTAGAACGTTAATTAAAACTTTAAAGGTATAGTTATTGTTCTTGGTGTGAACAGGCATTAAGGTATTTATTTATTTTTAATTCAAACGCAAGAATGTTTAAATGTGGTAATGATGTTTCAGATCAGATGTGCCTTGAGTTCGCTGGTTTTAGATGTGCAAGGATGTGTTTTGGTGTTTGTCTCCGCCTGCTGGCTGCACACAACAGTTAATAAATGCCAATATTTTCAGTCAAATTCACTCTTATGCAATTCAGTACATTTTCCAGGGATTCCACTGATATATATATATATATACAAAGTTTTACGTTGTAAATAAAGATTACTTGAATACATTTTACAAGTGTTACTTGCTGTTCCTTTGTAATTATTTGTAAAATTTGCTAGCAATTTCTGAGTGAAAATAGTTTCTGCACAACTATCGTTCAGTGCAGACTTTAGCTAGTTTCCACTGAGAGTATTTGGCTGATGTGTGTGTACCGGAGAGCAGGCCGTGAGCGTGCTGCGTGCAGTCGTTAGCGTGTAGCGCGGCGTTGCGTGCCGACTGCAGCAGGTTGTAGAGCAGCTGGCAGCCTCTGTCGGTGGACTCCACGCTGTCCTCGCCCTCCATCAGCCTCAGCAGCGGCTCCATGTGCGGAAGAGACAGCGGCCCCGACACCACGGCGTCTATCACACACAACACTCGCTGGAAGCTCACTCAGCATCGACACGAGACACAGTCGAATCACGACAAACACTCACCGTCACCCTCATTCAGGGATTTCATGAAGGGCTTGAGACTCTTCTCGAACATCACGGCGCTGTCGGTGTGATTGCGCCTCAGCGCTCTCCACGTCATCTCTAACCTCACCACCTGCGATATTATTTATACAACATTTTATTCTTATAAAGCAAGTGTGAAAGAGTTTTTTCTCTACTACAGCAGCACTTAATATTATCTTTTTCGAAGTTGAATAAATGTTTAATTGTCATATTTTGCCATGCTTTGTGTGTTCTGCATTATGTGTCCACCCCGTCATGTGCTGGTCCACCCTGTCATCTTGATATTTTACAATGATATTTTAAATAATAATTCAATCATATCTATATAATCCAGTGTGTTCAATAGCTAGGTGTGGGATCAATAACATGCAAACAAAAAACTGTATCTAAATATCACAGTTTTCTCCATATAAGAAACAAATACATAATACCTTTCAGAAAATATAATTTGCATCTTAATTTTGCAATGAAAACGTATTTAACAGTAATATATATGTCCATGACAGGGCGGACATATCTTATGGTTTATGCTTTGAATAATGGCCCATAATTATCTAAAACAAAAAATGTGTGGGAGCTCAGCTAATATGTTTCTATAGTACTTGAGTGTCTACTATTTAAGACATGACATAAAGCGAATGGGAAATTAAAGCCAAAATTTTTGAGAATCGTGAGGGTTGAAAGGCACTCTTATGGTGATATTGACCCACATATTTTTAACTTTTTTTTCAGCTTCAGCAGCACTTACACACACCCAAAACTTAAGAGTGTTATTCCTATCTATATTCCACAGGTTTTTACTGAAGGATTTATTCAGTACATTTTCCAGGGATTCCACTGTGTGTGAGATCATTGGTGCACAGACATCTAAATGTCATTTTTTTTACTTGCTCCACTGCTATTTTCCTTATATTTTTGCTTATTGTTAATTTTTTACTTTTATTCAGTCCCATCTGACCTTTTTCAATTCATTGAGTAGGCTGTTTACCTAATCCTGACTATATTTGAAAGTAAATCACATGATGCTCTTTCATGTTGTCTGCAAACTAAACAGACTTAGTTTGATATATTTATTTCCATTTTAATCCATTAAGAAATTCAAATATATTCTTTACATATAAACGGTCAGAAATATAGATTTGGCAAATTTCACTCAGGTGTGAACACAATCACAGCTTTAAATCATCATCATCATCATCACTGTAAACAAATTGAAGGTGAAGCGTGGCATATTTTCAGCATTAAAATATTGAATTTTATAGTAAGAGAATCGACACATTTCACCTTTACAACAGCATCACGTCTGAAAGTCCTTTATAATCTGATTGTGCTTTGGCTTGGACAGTCTTTCCGTTCGGTCTGTTTTAACATTTACTGTAATCTGAATATACAATAAATCACAGGAATATTAAACTCAGAAGTGGGTTCATTCATCGAGTGGTTCAGTTCTCGTGTTCGCTAGCAGAGGTCAAACCTCCGAGCTGCCGTCTGGTTCCAGTTTGTTGGAGAGGACCGTGAGGATCCTGTCGAATTTGGCGTAGCGCTCCTTGCGATCGGCTTTGGCGCCCATCTGTCCCCAGAAGAGCCGAAGGGCGAACTCCGTCTGAAACACCTCCAGCAGCTCCGGGATTGGCTCCAAGCCGGCTGGAGGCAGAGAGCGACAGGTCAGTCGGCCAATCAGAGCACTTTGCGTGTATGTGTGTCAGTGTTGCCAGTTTGGGGGGTTTTTTGTTACCTAATTCAGCGACTTTACCTATTTTTGCTGAAACTTAAATGTGTTTTGGCTATATGTTGTTTTTTTAGCAAACATACAGATAAAAAAGAAAGACATTCTATCACTTCTAACTTACTCTCTGAACATTTTACATTTAATTATGTAGTAGGTGAATCAAATGCAAATATGAACAATGACATAACAAATATGCTGATCAGCACTTAGCAACTTTCTCATTGTTGCCGCCACTTGTTTTTAACTTGTTTGTGACAAAACTGCTATTTTGGACATATTTTTACATTTGGCTATTTTTGGGCGATTAACAAACAAATACAAAGTTTTCTAACCATTTTGTGTGTAAATATAGCTTAAAACAAAACACATCTATAAATATGCTAATTTCACTTAGCGACTTTCTCATTGTTGCTATGACTTGTTTGTAACTGGTTTCTTGTGTTTTTTTTGACAAGGAGCCATTTTGACTATATTTAAACATATTTTTGGCATTGACAAAATTTTGACATTGTGTCACTTTTAACTTTCTGAGTGATCAAAATGCTGAGTTTTACATAAAGAGCCAAAATTATGTAATGAATATGCTAATTAGACATTTAGCACATTGTATGTATATATATATATATATATACTGATTTATACAACATTTTATTCTTAAAAAACACGGTGAAAGTGCTTATATTTAACTGTTGTGAGTTTTTTCTCCACTTCAGCAGCACTTACACACACCAAGACTTAGAGTGTTATTCCTATCTATATTCTGCAGGTTTTTACTGAAGGATTTGTTCATATATAATTCACACTGATTTATACAACATTTTATTCTTAAAAAACACGGTGAAAGTGCTTATATTTAACTGTTGTGAGTTTTTTCTCCACTTCAGCAGCACTTACACACACCAAGACTTAGAGTGTTATTCCTATCTATATTCTGCAGGTTTTTACTGAAGGATTTGTTCATATATAATTCACACTGATTTATACAACATTTTATTCTTAAAAAACACGGTGAAAGTGCTTATATTTAAAGGTTGTGAGTTTTTTCTCCACTTCAGCAGCACTTACATACACCAAAACTTAGAGTATTATTCCTATCTATATTCTGAAGGTTTTCACTGAGGGGTTTGCTCATATATCATTCACACTGATTTATACAGAATTTGATTTAGATAGAATTTGACACTGATTTATATTTTATTTAGAATCCCCTTTGGAAAAACCTTTAGCTCTAATATGACAACAAAATCAAATGAATTTTCAACCTGGCTTTATCCAGTGTTCAGGTTAATATTCTGAAAATGAATGCAAATTAGTGAGTTTTTAATTAGATAATGCTTCATTTGGATATTTGGACTTGTAATACAAAAATGTTTTGCAATTCTTAATGTAATCAGTCAACTGGGGAAGTATGGTGATATCTATTAGTTACATTTTTATCCAATGCTTTTATCCAGTGTAGGAGGTACCTGCGGCAGCTCCAGTGCTTTCATGACGGCGGAGAAGGCGTACAGGTCGTGTGTGGTGTTGCGCAGCTCCTGCGCCAGCTGGATGATCCTGTGCAGCACCATCGCCCGCTGACTCACTGTCCCAGTACAGCCCAGAAGATCCACCGCCACGCCCAGAGCCAGAGTGTGATGCCTGATGGGGAATCACAGCATGACGTCATCACGCGTCACATGACATCAGCATCAGCATCGTCACGGCAGCACGCACCTCTCCAGCAGGTCCTGTCTGAGCTGGCCTCCGTGTGGCAGCGTGATGAGCTCCAGACCGGTTTCCACTCCCATGATCCTCTTCTGCTCCACCGTCACCCCTGTGACCCGAGTCACCTGAGATAGACAGAGGCTCAAGATGAGATAGATGTGTGTCGAGTGTGTTACGTTAGTACTATTTATAAATGATTACAATTTTTATTCATATTTTGAATTAGCCTTTATTAACTAAAAAATTACTTTCTTTAACAGTCTAACTTTTTGCTTTGTTTTCCAGCACAAATATCTAAATATTCTTAAATATTCAGACGCGGGAAAACTTGAAAACTTGGTCTGAATGAAAATGCAAATTAATTTTTTGCCACTAGGTGCCGCTTTTGGAGCGGTAAAAATAGCGGTTTGCCCGGTAACGCTGTACACAAAGCAGCACTGCGCTCACAAACGCTGCTTTATCAGGCATTACAGGCGAGATGAAATGAAAATGAGACCAATCTGACCAATCACCGCAGATTAGCGTCACGCAAAGGAGGGGTTTGGAAAAATGAATCGTTGAGCGAATCGTTTGGGAGTCGTTGAGCAAATAAGGAAAAAATAAATGCATATTATAAGACAATGAAAGTGTTTTTTGACCTTGCATGCATGTAAACCTGTTGTTGGGGACTCCCAAAACCAAAATATGAACCTTTCATAACCCATAATAGGGGCACTTTAATTCAAAGGGAAAACAGATTTATTTTTCAGATTTGTTTTAAGCAAAATCAATTTTGATCAGTTTTTCAGAAAACAAGATCTATCTTAAGTCATGAGATCTTAACTCTTTCCCCACCAGAGTTTTTGAAAAAAGTTGCCAGCCACCACCAGCAATTTTGCTGATTTTCACTAAAATTTCAACGCAACATTTCTAATTTTCATTTAGTTTAAGTTAAGTTTCTTTTATTTCAGCTTCACTTCAGATAGCAGAAATGCTTTAAAGGTTTCAGTGAATGATGATGGCTCTGGCGTGTGGTACCTGGCAGTTGACGCTGAGCATGTGTAGTGCGGTGGTCCTGACATCGGTGTGCGTCAGAAGCTCTTTGACCTTCAGCAGGACGCTCTGATCCAGCGGACGGTTGTTGTCGGGCAGCATGAGCGAGCGGAACTCATTCAGACGGAAACATGATGTGGTCTCAGTCTGCGGCCGCTCGAAACACCAATCACGCTCGTCCTCCTCGATCCTCTCGCTCTCCCTGCGCTCCTCCTCCAGCTTCTGCGCCTCCAGGAAGCCAAAGCTGGTCTCAGTGAGACGCGCGCGGCTGGTCCACCGCTCCTGAGCGCGGAGACGCGCCGTGTGACCTTTGGGCAACATGGTGATGGGGACCTACACGGGGTCAAAGGTGAGTTTGTTACCGTCATCTAATTCTGTTTCTTGGAAACAACATGAAACAATTTGCAACCAGTTTTACTTTCTAATCTGATACTAATAATAATCTTGCTTGCTCCCCATTGACTTCCATTAAAAAACAATGAGATGTTTTTCAAAATAAAATTCTTTATATTTTGCAGAAATATGTCATACAGATCTGGAACGATATGAAGAAACATATAAGAAACTTTGCGTTCACTCATAAAACTTTTGCGTACTCCAAAAACTTTGCATTTGCCTGCAAAACATTTGCGTTTCCCCAAGAAACTTTACCTTCACTCATAAAACGTTTGCGTTCTCCCAAGAAACTTTGCGTTCACTCATAAAACGTTTGCGTTCTCCCAAAAAACTCTGCATTCGCTTGCAAAACATTTGAGTTTCCCCAAAAAACAATGTGTTCACTCATAAAACTTTTGTGTTATCCCAAGAAACGTTATGTTCACTTGCAAAACATTTGTTTCCCCAAAAAAATGTGTTCACTCATAAACATTTTGCGTTGTCCCAAGAAACTTTACCTTCACTCATACAACTTTTGCGTTCTTCCAAGAAACTTTGCATTCACTTGCAAAACGTTTGCGTTTCCCCAAAAAACTATGCGTCCACTCATAAAACGTTTGCGTTCCCCCCCAAAAATATGTGTTCACTCATAAACGTTTTGCGTTGTCCCAAGAAACTTTGCGTTCACTTGCAAAACATTTGAGTTTCCCCAAAAAACAATGTGCTCACTCATAAAACGTTTGTGTTCTCCCAAGAAACTTTATGTTCGCTTGCAAAACGTTTGTGTTTCCCCAAAAAAATATGCGTTCACTCATAAATGTTTTGCGCTGTCCCAAGAAACTTTACCTTCACTCATAAAACGTTTGTGTTCTCCTAAGAAACTTGGCATTTGCTGGCAAATCTATGGCTTTACCAGAAGTAACTTTGCATTCACTTGCAAATTTTTTGGCATTCCCCCAAGAAAATTTTGCGTTTCTTTGCAAAACTTTGCATTCACTCACAAAACTTGGGATAACGCAATATTTTCAGAGAAAATGCAAAAGTTTTGCAAGCAAATGCAAAAGCACTGGAATATATATTTATTTAATCTTGTCTCGTATTTTCCTATCACTGTGCTCCCACTGATATATAGTTAGACCAGAATTGTCTATGAAGTAAGTAAATCAAATCAGTTTCTATGTCTTGTTGACTTTAAATAGCATGTGCTCATGAACTCTCACCTGTGGCACCAGCTCACCATAGAGGCAGGTGGAATCAGGCTCCGGACCAGAATCAGGTTGAGTCGGGGTGAAGACGATGGAGATCCGCAGCGGTTTGGGAGGTGCACGTGAATGCAGCTGTCCATCAGAACCGTGCAGAGGACAGCCGCCGAGACTCGACTGGCTGGGCGGAATGGCGCAGGAAGCGGCTGGGCTTAGAACAGGCTCACTTCCTGTGCGGAACACCAGGGAGACGGGGGCGGGGCTGGACTCCTGTGACGGACAGCTCTGTGGGACACCTGCACGACATCAACAAAACATTCTGTGAGATGATCAGATCTCAGATCAGTTTTTCAATATGTTCACATGTGTGTGTGTGTACCTGTGCGGAGGTTGCTGTCAGACTGAGCGGACTGTAGTGACGGTCTCCCAACTGTCTCCAGATTAGCAGGCTGACTGCCGCTTCTAACACACACATCACTGTTACTATGACAACTATACACACACATCACTGTTACTGTGACAACACACACATCACTGTAACTATGACAACTATACACATCAATGTTACTATGACAACTACACACACATCACAATTACTATGACAACTATACAAGCACACAAAACATCGTTACTATGACAACTATACATATCAATGTTACTCTGACAACTACACACACGCACGTTACTATGACAACTATACACATCGATGTTACTATGACAACTACACACATCAGTGCTACTATGCGACTACACACACATCACTGTTACAATAACAACTACACACACATGCACATCAACGTTACTATGGCAGCTATACACACCAATGTTACTATGACAACTAGATACACATGCACAACACGTTACACCATCACTATGACACACACATCACACTACAGTCACACACATCACTGTTACTATGACAACTACACACGCACATACACATACACACAGAACACTGTTACTATGGCAACACACACAAACTACACCATTACTATGACAACTATACACTCACATCACTGTTACTATGGAAACACACATGCAACACTTTTACTATGGAAACAAAATGGTCTGTGTATGTGTGTTACCTGAGCAGGTTGTTGCTGTTGACCTGCAGTGTGTCTTTCTGAGAGGAGCTCAGGCTCCGCCTCTTGCTCTGACCTCGTGACAGGAGGGAGGAGCTCGATGACCTCGCAGCCTGGCGCTCGCTGATGATGCGTAGAGGCAGAGTGCGCGTGATTGGCTGAAAGATGATAGCTCCGGTGGAATGTGAGATGGGATGCCGTCCGCCGACATGAAAGCGAATTAACGCTGGAATGTTATCGAACTGATCTTTCTCAAACTGAAAGAGCTCCCGGGTGTAACCCTACACACACAGACACACACATCAGACTCAGTATCTGAAAGAAGCTATAAACGTTGAGACGGATGCTATACCTGTTTGGGTCGCAGCACGACACGTATGATTTTGAAGTGCATGGGCTGATTTTTCCACATGCAGCTGAGAACATATTCGCCCGTGCTGGAGCTGGAGTCACGCACCAGAAACTCCCCATCTCTACTCAACAACTGCTCCGCTCCCTGAACAGCCACAAATACATCAAAATATATCAATAAAAATGAGATTTAAACAAGTCAACAAATGAGTAAATTTATATAGCACATTTCATACAAAAAGGTCATTCAAAGTGCTTTACATTAAAATAATCATAATAGATGCATAATAAATAAATATAGAGAATTAAAATGATTAAAAGTTAAGAATAAGAACAACCCAAAATAACCCATAACATTAAAACAAACAAATAAAAATGAAATTTAAAGGGGTCATATGACGCTGCTAAAAAGAACATTATTTTGTGTATTTGGTGTAATGAAATGTGTTTATGCGGTTTAAGGTTCAAAAAACACATTATTTTCCACATACTGTACATTATTGTTTCTCCTCTATGCCCCGCCTTTCTGAAACGCGTCGATTTTTACAAAACTCATCGGTCTGAAAAAGCGAGGTGAGCTGTGATTGGCCAGCTATCCAGTGCAGCATTGTGATTGGCCGAATGCCTCAAGCGTGTGACAGAAATGTTACGCCCGGCAAATTCGACGAAGGACCGTCCGGAGGGCTTGCAGCAACCACATGTGACGACCCCGGGCTGGACTCCGCTTCGTGCACAGTGAAAGCCGATTCGGCGATCCACAACGCAAAGTTGATGTATTTCCTCAGTGACCAGCACGGATCAGCTCTAGGCATGACGAAGCGGATATCGTCCTCTTTTGGAAGACCAAACAAAGTAGTTTTGCTTTCACAACGAAACACACAGCGCCTTCACGACATGGCGGCGGCAACAATACACACTTTGCGTGAACATTTGGGCGGCGTTATGCAAATCTTACCACATAGTGACGTAGGTATGTGGGGGCGTGTTAGAACGAGCCATTTTAGGTAGGTGTGGCTGACTCTTAACTTTTATAAAGAATATCTCTTTGGATTTGAGACTTTAGTCTTTGCAACTTTACAGATCTTCTTTATGCACCAAGAGCTTGTAACACTCCAAAGAGAAAGGAACAATTGAAATCGTATCATATGACCCCTTTAAATTAACTGAATGAGTAAAAAATAAATAATAAAATAAATAAATTAAAATGAAATTAAAATAAATAAAAATTTGATTTAAATAAATATTTAATTAAAACAATTATTAAAATTAATCAAATAAAACATAAACAAATAAATAAAATACAATAATATAAGAATACAATAGTATAATGATGAGTAGGGAAAAAATGTAATAAGGTAACTTAACAGAAACAAAATATTGTATATATAGGGTTGGAGCTGAACTCTGCAAGACTGTGGCTCTCCAGGACCGATGTTGGCTGCCCCTGACCTAAAGTAATAGCTCTCCCAGAAATGAAAATTTTCATAATGTCATATCAAACTTGTGCTGTTGTTGTTTTTTTTTCCAAGGAACACAGAAGTACACACTTGAACATGGAAACATATTAACTCGTGTCAGTTCCTCACACTAAAACATCATATGACCTCACAAGACTTGGAATAATGCATGAATCGTGCTACTTCTGCTTTTTATGGGTCTTTAGGCTGATATGAATGTTCACGTGAAAGGAGCTGCATGAACATTCTTCAAACATTCGCTTTTTCTCTTTCACAGAGGAAATCATCAGCATACTGCAGGTTTGGATGACATGAGGGTGAGTGAATGTGGGTGAACGATGCCTTTTACCGCAGTAGCACACACACACACACACTCACACACACACACACACACAGTCACACACACACACACACACACACACACACTCACACACACTCACACATACACACACACACACTCACACACACACACACACCTCGCGCTGCAGCTGTCCATGATACCAGGCGTGACTCCTCAGATGCTCACTGCTGAGTTTGAGTTCCTCCTCCAGCTCCTTCTTCAGAGAGTCCATGTCCTTCAGGCCTGAGAACACCTTCAGAAACATCACAGTAACACAGTAAAGCACTGGCACCCTGCTGAGGTGAAATATCAGTAATAAAATAAAATTATATTTCCTACGGCATGACACTCTCACCTGACTGATGAAGGCCGTCACACTCTTCCTCCTGCTGCAAAACAGAGCAGAGCACGTAATGTGTGTTAACAAAACCGTATGTTGTTCATTTGTAATATTTACATTTCAGTTTTAGTGCATTCAAGGTGCACATTTTATTAGTTCATTTGCAATGTAGCTATAATCTAAGTTGATGACAGCAGTAAATCCACACGCACATTTGGTGGAAAACAATGATGTTTTTGATCTGACTAAAATCAGTTAATTTAGATGTTATTTCTATTTAAGGCGAGACACTACAGGCAAACCATTGTTTTGTTTTGGGTTTTTTTTCATGCATTGAGATGTTGGCTTCTTTCAGACGAGTGGAAAGAAAACATCATAAATGCACATTCAAGTGTTTATTTTATTGCACTTTATCTATTTGCATCTGTAGATTTCAATACTGCTTTTTTCCTTACGTTCACCAAACTTTGCAGTGGTATTCTTATATATATTCTGAAGGTTTGTTGATATTTCCTTCACACCGATTTAGGCCTATACGACATTTTATTCCTAAAAACATGATGAAATGTATTAGTTTTTTTTGGTTGTTAACAGTATTTGTTGATTTATGGAGAAAATATGGAGAAAAAAAAATGAACTCGAATATAAAACTTGTAAAACAGTCATCTTAATATACTGAAAAGCTGTTGTTTTGGCAGACTGGCTTCAATATAAGCTGTTTTTATCCTGGGGAGAGTGTCTGTTAGATAACATTATAACACTATTCAAGCTGGGGTGTCCTGCCTGTATTTATACCGTTACCTTGTGACATAGACACATCAGAAGAACAGAAACAATGCTCAAAGTTTGTACAGCATCAGAACAGATGCACATGGTCATCAGACATGAACAGTTTCTCCAGACCGTGCTGATGAGGATGATCCTACGGACTGCAGGGATTTAACACTGTACAACATGCATTCATGTCAAAGCCACTTCCTCTCTCCGAATCCTCCGTCCCAAACTCTTCTTCAGTAAAAAAGACCTCCGAGAACGCTCTCCAGATCACTGACACGGAGACTGGTGTTTCTGAATATCACTTTAACGGCGTTTCCTTCCCATCGAGCAGCCAAACCCGCCGCATTGTGTCTTCTGGACATCAGGGAATGTCCTGGGACTGGTTGCCATGGAAACGGATGTTATGGGCTTTTCCTGGCCTTCTGGATTCAAGGTTGGGTCGAAAACAATTAACACTCCGACTATGAGCTCACTTTAACACGCTTTCCTTATAGCCATGCCCTAATAACAGTGATCGAGATGAAGCTACACTAAAACAAATGGGTAACACTTTATTTTAAAGTGTTCTTCATGCACTTACTATTATAATTGCAATAAACTATGCATAATTACATGCAAGTAACCCTAAGCCAAACCCTATTCCTGACCCTAAACATATAGTAAGTACATGCAGTTAATTAATATTACCCAATACTTAAATGTATAATTACACTGAAACAAGGAAGTAAAGTACAATACGATCACAACACCATCTGGATTCTAGCTCATGTTTCCAAAGTCAAAGTTTGCTAATAACACACACTTGAGTTCACAACACACTAATGCAGAACAGCTGGTTTAGATGCAAACTTGCTTAAAGTATCTAAAACTGGAGCTCACTGCAACTACTAGAGTTTTAAAGAGCAGGAGTTTTATCAAAGGTCTGAGCCCTTCCCATCGCACACGGCAGGATAATCATTAACAGCGTTCAGAAACTTACCTGGAAAATCAGAGAAATCCCTGTGCTGGCGTTTCTCGGCGGGAGATCATCGTGATCCGAGTGCTTGTCCTTCCACAGCGGACCGCTCACAGAAGACGAGTCCAGGCACGCACGCACCGCTATCTCTCGCGCATTCCTCGCGTTCCGCACGCACTCACCTGTCTGACGCCGCGCGAGGCCCTGGACACCCGCAGACATGCCCAAGAGAGAGAGAGAGAGAGAG